AAAAAAAAAAAACAAAAAAAACTGAATCATTAGGTAAATATTGATCTGTTGCTAAGTGAACAGGAGACAAATCATCCCAATGAAGCAGTTTTCCCAGACATTAAAAGAGTCATTCATAATGTATCTTTGTCAACTATCTCAAAACAGATTTTCAAATTGACTTTCAAACTGACTCTCTTAACATCCTTTCAATGTTCACCTTTCATCAACTTTTTTTTTCTACACCAGAACAGCAAGAGGATGTGTCCTGATCCTGCACATAAATCATAATAACTGGTTGTTTGCAGGCAACATTACTGGGTCAGATCAAGTGTGTTGTAAATCAGTTAACTAAAATCCCAGCCTGCATAAGCGCTTGCGAAGGCTGCAAATAAGCTTCCTTGTAGGAAAAAATCTTCAAAGTCCCAGCAGAAGCACTTTTACCCCTAACAGACATGTTTCCTGCCCTTAACTTCAAACACATGGCAGGCTGTTACAGAAATGTGACACAGAGAAAGAATATCAGGGGACATTGGTTTCCGACAGAGTGACAGAGAAAGAGGATCATGTGGGAATAGAAGGGGACGGTCTTGTTAATGACCCGCTTCACAGTCTGGCCTCTTACTGCTCTCTGCCTCTGTTCTCTCACCTGAACCTCAGGAAAAGTCCCTGTCCACTTCCAATGGATAAGAAGGGGACCGATGCTGAAGTCAACTCCAGTTTGGGTTCAGTTCCCCTCTCTACTAATTCCCAATTCCCTTGTCCTTAAAAGGAGAAGAAAAATGATTCTAACCTCAAAGTTGGTAAGAGAATTAAATGGTACAATGTCTGTGAGAGGTACCCAACAAATTTTAAATGGAGTGACATGGACAAAAAGAGAAATGTGAAAACATTTCCATGATGTCCTACATGAACACAGGAAATCCTGATTCCTAAAACTAGAATCTAAATCAGAAATCAGAGGTCAGGGCCAGGCACGGTGGCTCAGGCCTGTAATTAGGAATTCAAAACCAACCTGAGCAAGAGTGAGACCCTGTCTCTATTAAAAATGAAAAACTGGCTCTGCGCCTGTGGCTCAAGCGGCTAAGGCACCAGCCACATATACCTGAGCTGGCAGGTTCAAATCCAGCCCGGGCCCACCAAACAACAATGACGGCTGCAACCAAAAAACAGTTAGGCCAACGTTATGGCGGGTGCCTATAATCTCTGCTACTTGGGAAGCGGAGGCAGGAGAATCACTTGAGCCCAGAAGTTGGAGGTTGCTGTGAGCTGTGATGTGACGGCACTCTACCCAGGTGACAGCTTGCGGCTCTACCTCAAAAAAAAAAAAAAAAATACATAAATGAAAAACTGAGGCAAAAATATCACTTGAACCCAAGAGTTTGAGGTTGCTGTGAGCTATGACATCACAGTGCTCTACTGAGGGCAACAAAGTAAGACTTTGTCTCAAAAAAAAAAAAAGAAAGAAAAAAAAACTAGAGGTTAGTTAAAAGTTAGAAGAGGAATGAAATGAATTCTTTGGCCTTTAATCATTTGTCATCTTCAAGTCAGAGTGCCTGGGTATTTGGAATTTAGCTGCTTAAGTGATGTTCCAACATGCTCTAAGAGGGCTGATCTTGTAATCAAAGGTTTTGAAAGGGCTCGGCGCCTGTGGCTCAAGTGGCTAAGGCGCCAGCCACATACACCTAAGGCGGAGGGTTCGAATCCCCGGCCCGGGCCCGCCAACACAACAATGATGGCTGCAACCAAAAAATGGCTAGGCATTGTGGCGAGCGCCTGTAGTCCCAGCCACTTGGGAGGCTGAGGCAGGAGACTGGCTTGAGCCCAGGAGTTGGAGGTTGCTGTGAGTGTGATGCCATGGCACTCTACCCAGGGGGATAGCTTGAGGCTCTGTCTCAAAAAAAAAAAAAAAAAAAGGTTTTGAAAGTAAATGGTTTCTGAGGAATTTGGCCTTCACATCAGAGCTAATTTCTAAACATCAGGTCTGTCTTTTTTCTAGACTGACCTCTACCCTCCCTAGTTCAAGCTTTACCAGGAGAGAGAACGGCAATTGGCCAGTGACTGGGGACTCCATGCTAATACCAGTGGCTCAAGTTGGTGCTAACATTCTACACACAGCCATGAGGTCCAAGGATGGGGCCAGGAATGCACCTCCATAACAGGAGGTAGGTGGGGACATCTCAAAAGAGGTCATGGCACCAGGTCAGCACCTTAGGCTGCTCATTAAGAAAGTATGCCAGGGAGAGGAAAAAACCAAAGGGAAACTGTTGAACTTTATTGATTATCTTAAAAAGAAAGAATAAAAGGAATCAGCTTTTATAATCAGCTTTCTTTTACACTTTGAACAATTAGTATGGAATCAAACCTTACATGAAGCTTTTCCAGAGCCTGGCCAATAGCAGCTTTTCTCTGGCTTCCTCCCTCTAATTACTCAGGAACCAAAGCTGGGTGGCAATTTGCACTCATCTGCATATAAATTTGCAGAGTTTGGAATATTTTAGTTTTCAAAAGCTCTCTAAAAATGAGATGACCAAGGAACTGAGCTTGGCGGTTCTATGCAATCTAAATTGGGAGTATATGTCACTAGCCAGTCCAAATTAATTAATCATTTAAATTAAGTATTGAAGTATTGAATATGAAAAATGCTGGACAATTTTCAAAACATGTAGACACTACACACATCCTATTTTATACAGCATATTTTTAACTGCAGAGACTACATGAGAACACCATGTCCTTGGTCTTATGCTTGGTGGCAGAGCCTACTATAATGTAATGTCCCCTTAGTAGAGGCAGTTCCAAATTCAATATGATCACATTAATGTGGTACATGGCACTCTACCACTATTAGGCAACATCTCTCCTGACTTGGGATTATGGCATCACCGTCACAACTATGAGAAAACCCCACACAAACACCCAGAGCCCAAGGCGGTAGCTCTTCACCCTGGTCTAACAGCATGTGAAAATTAACTAGACAACTAGACAAAGAAAAAACCCAAATTTTCAGATGTTTCTGTTATCCATTTGTCTACTGTTAGAAGAAAATCATTCACCCAGTATCGTTAACACCAAAAGAGGGGGTGAGAGGTGATATAAGGAGGGAGGAAAAAGCTTCTATCACTATGCATCAAATCTCAGAAACTTCCAGTCATGTGCTGAGAGGACTGTTTGAGGGAGATGGCTCTCTCTGCAGCTGCAGGGTAAGGAGGCACAGATGGAGGGGAGGAACCATGAAGAGGCCAGAGTGATGAACAACAATGGGGAAGGACTGAGGAATCCAGACTGACTGGGAGCACATGGCACGCTTTGTGCATGAGGCCTGCATAGAGTGCCAGAAGGAAGACACACTTATTCACAAGACATCGACAGGGAAAAATTTAACACCACATCTCTTCAAAATATTATGTGTGACACAGAGTGCAGATTTTCTCTCTCTCTCTCTCTCTCTCTTTTTTTGAGACACAGGCTCTCACTCCATCACCCTGGGTAGAGTGCTGCGGTGCAGTAGCTCACAGCAACCTCAAATTTCTGGGTTTAAGCAATCCTCCTGTGTCAGCCTCACAAGTAGCTGGGACTACAGGCACCTACCACAACATTGGGCTAGTTTTTCTATTTTTAGTAGAGATAGGAAGGAGGGGGTCTCGCTCCTGTTCAGGCTGATCTGGAACACCTAAGTTCAAGCAGTCCACCCACCTTGGCCTCCCATAGTGCTAGGATTACAGGCGTGAGCCACCAAGCCCGCCCCAGATACTTTTCATTTTACAGCTATGGTTCCTTCTACCAAAAGCAGTGCCCGCCCTGCTGCCTCCAAAATACAGATCTGGGCTTCTGTGGGGAAATCCGGTTCACTTGGACAAAAGCACTCTCTATAAGTGCATTCCTTTAACTAACCTCGATATGTTTTTTAATAAGGTGGATGGAGAATATCCAGCTAATAGGCCTCTGCTTTTATGCTTATTAATTACTTAGAGCAAGGATGGCTTCTCTGTCCTAGAACTGGCAACAGGGCATTTGTAAAAGGACAGAATATTGTCCTAGTTTTCTCTATCTACCTAAAAGTGATACTGTTTTCTGCAAAGTCCTTGTCATGGATGATGACACCATACTGCGGGGGAAGGGATGCTTCTAGGCAACAAAGATCTGATTCTCTCTTGCCCTCCAGGATTCAAACACCAGACTGCTATCAAAACTGTGGCTATTTTAACATCACTGATGCCTTAAGCATGCATTGTGAAAAGATCTTTGAACATTACAAAAGCCAACTAGATCAGCAGGTGGGCACACAGAGGACATGAAGTCTACTCACTCTTTGGTCAGCAGAGGACAGGACTTGAGTAGAAAGCGTGAGAGCCCCGAGTCCTGGAAGTAGAGGTCAGGGGGGGCTGTGGGGCTCTTCAGGTTCAAACACCGGACGATCACGTACAGCACGGCAGCTACTACGGCCAGCTTCACCCCATCAAACACGGCCGGGAGCTCAGGGGTCTCCAGCATGGCATTCATCTTGATCTGGGGAGCACAGGGACAGGGCTGGGTTTATATCCACAGTGAGGAGGAGTGGAGCCTTCCCCACACTACAGAGGCACGTCCTGCTAAGAGACAAAGCCAGCAATGGCAGGCCATGATCCAGATGCATCCACAGGGTCTCCCAGGCAGATGCCATCAGCACCTCACCACCACTAATGGCCTGGCAACCACCCAATCACAAACACACAGCCCTTAGTGCTGATAGACCCAGTACTGTGCTATTTTCTTTTATAATCTCATGAGTTTTTCCAAGCTGAGCAAATGCTGAGAATAGTGTCCTTTTGAGAGGAGAAAAAGAGGCAGGAGCAGGACTGGGCTAGCACTTTGATTTCTGTTACTAGGCCACATCAGTTCTCTCTGTAGACTTAATCTGCACCTAGTGTACCAGGTGTTTATTAAGTGTTGTGTTTACAGCCTCAGACAGAAACATGGGACGGGACTGCGGGGGCCACCAGGTGTGGCTGCTGCCTACTGGCCCTACCCTATTATTTTCAGAGCAAGCTGAGATAAAGCGACCTCAGCCTGACCCAGCCATCTGCTCCACAAAAGGCCCTGGTGCTGAGTCTAGTTCAAACTCAGCCCAGGTTGCAACGGTCCTGGCTCCTGATGGTTTCAGGCAGTGTGACATGAGCTCAGCCTGCAGAAGCTACCCAACTGTAGCCATTAGTCCAAAATGAGGCTAAAAGTAGAAAAATTGAACCACTAGATCAAAATTTAAAACTAGAGCCCAGAAAATGTGCATGTATTTCTGGCTTTAGCTTTCCTAATGTTCACCTTTTGAAGTAGCTTTTCCGTATCTCTCTCTCTTACACACACACACATCCTACTTCAAACATATCAAACCCAAATATCAGTAACAACAAAAGCAACATCAACAAAAACCCAGTATTTTCCTAGTCGTTGGGCAGAAAACAGAACATCCACTGTTACCTTAAAAATTAGGGAAACCACAAGCTAACAAAAAGGAAAAAATGGTAACTCTCCCAGCCAGGGTAGCTATGGCAACAGTTTCCCCTGGAATGGTTTCAAGTAGCCTCTGCTGGAAACAGTGAGCTCTCCTGGCCAGTGGTGGTGACAGAAGAAGCAGGACAAAACAATCTCCAAAAAATGTGCTTCGGGTAAAACTGATTGAACTCTCCTGAGACACATGGCAAGTCCCAAGAGGACTCAAAAACTCTTTTCTAAAATTGAGGTGACTTTGGCAAATAAAGGGCCTGACTACACTGCAGACAATCTCTGGCAAGGGTTCCAACTCAGTGAGGAAAGAAAACTGAAGGTCACAGGCCCTTAACTAGCCTCCTTCTTTCTAACTAGCAAGAAAACAATTTTTAAAAACTTTACCTGGCCGGGCACAGTGGCTCACTCCTGTAATCCTAGCACTCTGGGAGGCTGCGGAGGGTAGACTGCCTGAGTTCAGGAATTCAAGACCAGCTTGAGCCAGAGTGAGACTCTATCTCTACTAAAAATAGAAAAACTAGCTGGTGTTGTGGGGGCGTGCATAGTCCCAGCTACTCGGGAGGCTGAGGCAGGAGAACTACTTGAGTCCAGGAATTTGCGGGTGCTGTGAGCTATATGACTCCACTGTACTCTAACTTGAGGGAGACTGAGTGAGACTCTGTCTCAAAAAAACAAAACAAAACAAACAAAAACAACCAAAAACCCTTTATCTGACGCAATTTGAGATCAAGGCTAGACCTCAGAATATACTCTCAGCTATGGTGAACTTTCATGAGCAAACAGTTTTCTGAGAACTTAACTTCTGGTGGCTTGGTGCCCGTAGCTCAGCGGCTAGGACACCAGCCACATACGCCAGAGCTGGCAGGTTCAAACCCAGCCCAGGCCCGCCAAACAACAATGACAACTATAACCAAAAAATAGCCGGGCACTGTGGTGGGCGCCTATAGTCCCAGCTACTTGGGAGGCTGAGGCAAGAGAATCACTTAAGCCCCAGAGTTGGCGGTTGCTGTGAGCTGTGATGCCACAGCACTCTACTAAGGGTGACATACTGAGACCCTGTCTTTTTTTTTTTTTGCAGCTTTTTTTTTGGCCAGGGCTGAGTTTGAACCTGCCAGCTCTGGCATATGTGGCCAGTGCCCTACTCCTTTGAGCCACAGGCACCGCCCAAGTGAGACCCTGTCTCAAAAAAAAAACAACTTAACTTCTGGTGATGTGTTACCTTACTCCTGGTGACATCCCCTGAAAGCTGTCTACAACCCCCTAAAACAAGGATCCTTAACTTGGGGTCTGTGAGTCCCTATGGGATTCTAGGGCCTTTTAGTCAGATTCTCAAAGGGGTCTGTGGCCTAAAACCATACACAGCACTGCACTAATATGCTGGATGGGTTTAACCTGCATCTTCCATCCCTCACCTTTCTACAGCCGTGACACACATGCCAATCAAATGGTTTTTAAACAAAGAGCCAAGATGGGACAGCTTTTTAACATAGCAGAGGGCCAAAAACAAAATCCATCAGAAACCCCAAAGTTTCTCTGCCTACGTGCTGGTAATTCCTTGTTGCTTCTTCTGGAAAGACAGCAGGGCAATGCAGTACATGGTTTTACCAGTTTCCTTGTTGGCCTTGAGTAGACTTAACGAACTAAAAAAATAAAACAAACAGGCCCTTCTCTTCCCATTCCTATTCACTGTTTCCTAACACAGAGAGAGGTAGAGAAGAAAAGCAAAAACAAGCATCTTTGTAATACATACCTATATCACTTATTCTTCTCACTGTGAATGTGAATTTTCTTTGAAGAGTTGTATAGTCAGGCTGGTCTGAGATCTCTTATTCAAACTAATGTAAAAGCTGAAAAGATTGAATAGTGATCTTTTAAAGCGTGAAAAAAAGCAGTGTAATTGAAACATAGCACAGTGTAAGTTGCTCTATATTTAAAACCTTTAGGGAAAAAGATAATTTAATTAACATGTATGGCACAATTGCGGACATCTGGCCATTTTAACGCATCTGCTGGGGGAAGCCTTTGTGAATCCACCAAGACTGACAGGCTCTGATTTTCAGGACAAGTTTTCTGCTATGTTCATAACTCTGGCTAGAGCAAAGTCACCCTTTACCCATTATCTCATAGCATAATCTTCAGAATGAACAGGACAGGTATCATCTCTAGGTGACCAATGAAATAACTTAGCAAAGCTTTAGCTCAAGACAGTCCAACCAGTTGGCTCATTTGTTCTCTTCCAAACATATAGCAATTACAGAAAAAATATGAGCTGAGAAAAGCAAAAGGGCACAGATGGTGTCAAAATCAATGTGCTGGGCCAGGTACCCACTCATGGCACTTGGGAGGCTGAGAGAGAGGATCACTTGAGCCCAGGAGTTCAAGACCAGCCTGGGCAACACAGCAAGACCCTGTCTCAAAAACAAAAACAAACAAGCGAAAACCAAGAAACAGAACAGGGCCCAAAGCAATGGGTGGGGGGCTGCACTGCTTGCCTGCACTGTCTTGGTCCAGGCTAGGGGTCAGAGGATGGCTGCTTAGGGACACCAGGAACTAAAAGCGCTCACTGTGACCTGGGGGACCAGAATCAAGTGTACTATGAGAACCTGCTAAAAGACTTATGGCTTCCAAAGCAGCAGAAGCAGCAAAAAGAGAATATGGGGGAAATAGCCAATGTTTGTGCAGCACTATGTATGTGCCAAGCTTTGTTCTTCAAACTTAACATATACTAACTCACATAATCCATCTCACACCCTGAGAGGTAGATGCTATTATCACCCCATTTTACAGAGGAGGAAACTGAGGCATAACTTGCCCACGGTCACATAGCTGGTATATAGAAAAGCCAGGATTTGGCTCGGCGCCTATAGCTCAACCGGCTAAGGCGCCAGCCACATACACCTAAGGTGGCAGGTTCGAGTCCCCAGCCCGGACCCACCAAAACAACAATGACAGCTGCAACCAATGGCCAGGCGTTGTGGCGGGCGCCTGTGGTCCCAGCTACTTGGGAGGCGGAGGCAGGAGACTCGCTTGAGCCCAGGAGTTGGAGGTTGCTGTGAGCTATAAGGCCACGGCACTCTACCCAGGGGGACAGCTTGAGGCTCTGTCTCAAAAAAAAAAAAAAAAAAAGAAAGAAAAGCCAGTATTTATATCTGACCCCAGAAACCTTCCTCTTAACCACCATACTATGCTACTTGAAGACAGGAAAAGCAGAGAGAGAGAGAAGCAAGCAGGCAAGAAAATGGATGGTACAGGAAACACAAGACACCAGAGGCTTGCCTGGAGTCATATAGCTATAAGTAACAGAGTTGGGATTCAAGCCCCAATTTTTTCTGATTCTACCACACCAAACTGATTTAAGAAGAAAGTGAAAGCCAGCTGAAGGAAAGAATCTATTAACCTTCAAAGCAGTCTTGCCCAATTTCAAATCTTTATTATCTCCTCATCTTCTAGACAGATTAGTCACAGAGGACAGGGCCATGGTGAGGAAGGGCCTGAAGAGCAAAGCCTCAGGCCACATCACAGGCCACCTGACCTCACCAGGCTTGGCTGCCAAATGGAAAACAGGCCATGGACCAAATCAAAGATCCTAAACTGGCAGCCCAGGGGTTGGCGCTGCATTTGGCTGGCATTTAAAAAAATTGAATTTATTAGTTGCCAAGTTATAAACACCAGGGGATTTCAGATAAAAAGCTAGATCTCTGATTTCTCTTGAAATAAAATCAAAAGATTTGCAACATAGAGTCAGCCTCCTCACACAGCAAGAAAATGAATGGAGCTGAACAGGCCACCTCCTTTAGACAGACCACGCTCTCCAGAGGTGGCCGCAGTCTCTACCACTCCCTATCACAGTGCTCAACACTGACCCCCGACCCAGTTTAATCATTTGTGGCATCTGAATGACCCCAGTAGGCATCAGAATATGCAACCTTTGCAGAAAACTATCAAAGGTCCCTTCTCACCTTGGATAAGAAGGAGAATTGACTGAATATTCAAGAACAGTGTTATCAGTCCATGTATAAATGATGAAGTTATAGAAAAAATTATGGAAAAGCCAAGTGGCAAAGCTCATAGGGATAAAAAGATATAGTACCTTTTATTTGTTGATATTTACATTGACATTTGTTTACACTTTAACTCTTCCCACAAACTATTTGAGATGGCTTTGACGAGACACCCTTACTAAATATGTATGCATAAAGGAAGAGTCAGAAATGTGGCAGACTGCTGCTTGCTTCCCAATTTTAAGGGCCCCCTCCAACTTTAGTAACAGAAGCCTGAGAAATTTGCCCAGCCAAAAACACAATGTACCTCAGACTCCCTTGCAGCTAGGTGACTCCCTATGACCAGATTCTGGAGGGCCTGGTCTGATTTCTAAGAAGGCTTCTTAAAAGGCAGGAAGTTAATCCTTCTTCTGCCCTTTTCCCTTCCTGCACCCCTGGAATGCAGACAATATGGCTGCACCTCCAAGAGCCATCTTGGGTCATCAAGTCACTCCAAGGGCTCCATTAAGAGGACAGCAGAGTAGAAAGACAGAATTCTGAGACCTTGACAATTAAATGGAGCCATCACATCAGACCTAGACTGCTTGTCTCAGGACTTCTTTTATGAGAGAATAAACAGTTGAAGCCACTGTGACTTTGAGGCTCTTTACTCTGCAGTTTCTAATGATAAAGGAGGAAATCCTATATACCCACATCTTTATGAAGGCAAACATTGCCAGGTTCTAATAGTATTTGCAATTTCACTTTTTTCTATTCTCCAGAATTCATAATGGCTAATAATATTTTTGTCATTAGGAAAAAAAAAGCTTTAAAATAGCAACTACGAAAATCTAAGAAATTTTAAAAACCTGAAGAAGGATAATACATACGTCAACATACACAATAATTATGTATGTGATTAAACTTAGAATGTATCTGAGCTTTCTGACTGTTGGGGGAAAAGTAAAACCCAGTCAGACCTATGGTTCTCTGAAATGGAAAGAAAGCTTATGTGCTGTGCCCTTATTTCCAGAAACATGACAGCTACTCAGCAGAAACAGGGCTTTTCTGCTATGGAATGATTAAAAAAATGCGGGACTTTACATAAGAGGACCTTGAGTGATGTGATAGACAACGTCCTCCCACAACCTTTTTAATAGCAAATTCAGTAGAGAATTAATTTCCTCAACCCTTGAAAAACGCCAAGTTTTTAAAATTCAATTCAACTCAGAGAAAGCAATCCTATGAGAGATTTCTAATTATTGTGGTCCAGATATGCAGCCTTGATCCAAGGTGCCAACCTAATGTCCTGAGGAGCAGGTCAGCTCTCTTACATGTCCCCAGGGACATCACCCTTGTGTTTTAGCAGGATTAAGGATCTGACTAACTCTTGTGGGCCTAGCATTTTTCAAGATAGCAATTAAGTAGAGTTCTCTTTTAACCGAGGAGAAAAGAAGTTTATGTTCAGGCGAAATGCACTTTAGAAACTCAAAGTCAAGAATAATTAGTCCAGGGAAAAAATAACCAGGAAAGGACTTATGGAGAAGCTAAATCTAGAAACTGGCCTTAGCGAATGAAGTACAGTTGGCCCTCCTTATCTGCAGATTCAACCAACTGGGGATGGTTGAAATATTTGAAAACAAACAAACAATGTAACCATCAAAAAATAACACAATTTTGGCTCGGCGCCTGTGGCTCAAGCGGCTAAGGCGCCAGCCACATACACCTAAGGTGGCAGGTTCGAATCCCCAGTCCAGGCCCGCCAAACAACAATGATGGCTGCAACCAAAAAATGGCCGGGCGTTGTGGCCTGTGGTCCCAGCTACTTGGGAGGCTGAGGCAAGAGACTCGCTTGAGCCCAGGAGTTGGAGGTTGCTGTGAGCGTGATGCCATGGCACTCTACCCAGGGGGATAGCTTGAGGCTCCATCTCAAAAAAACCAAACAAACACAATTTTAAAATAAATGCAATACACTATAACAACTATTTACATAGCATTTACATTTTATTATGTAATATAAGTAACTTAGAGACTATTTAAAGTATACAGGAGGAAGCACATAGATTATATGCAAATACTACGCCATTTTATGTCAGGGACTTGAGCAGCCTTAGATTTTGGTATCCTCAGGGGTCCTGGAACTAAGCTCCCACAGATACAGAGGAATGACTGTATAGAATTTAGAAGTGTGTTATAAAGTATACACATACACACATACACACACACACATTTACATATGTATGTATGTATTAAACCAAGAATTATCAGGCAATTTCAGAACAAAGCTCTTCACCTTCATTTTAACTTATCTTGCTGCAATCTATTTTATGGTACTTTTTCTTTCCAAGTCTGAGTTGCCACTAAATGTTAATATTCTGAACTTGTTCTAAACATAAGAAACTCAAATTTCATTATATTATTTCATGTGTCACTCCTTCTTTTCTAGGCAGGTGAAATCCATTTAAAATAAACATCAGGTAGCCAAGACAGGGGGAAAAAGTCACACAGAAAGGCAAGAGGGCCAGGTACATGAAAAAGGAAAAGGAAGCTCTCCCCATCCCCACCCCAACCCTCACTCCACCTCTATAATGGGCTGGGCTTCCTACCTACCAAGTAGCAATCCTTCCTCAGCGACTGGCCCCACACCTCCCCCCACCTTTTTATGACTGGAATTTAATGTAGTCAAAATTGCACTTGTAGCCTCCACATTAACAAAGGAACCCAAGGTGCAGCCAGAGGCCCACATCTATTCATCAAAGGAATTCTCAGTATTGCTCTTGGTCTCTAAGACGTGCCTGACTGGTATTTCTACTGGTGGTGAAGGCCTGGGTTATGCCTCCCACACTCTCATTGCTCTTCCCTGGCTA